AGCAGCAAAATATACCTTATAAAGTCTTACTAATAATAATACGAGAAATTTTTTTGCTCTCATATAAAAGATTTGTCCATTAAATGTTTATTTGACTTTAAGATTATGAGTTGTGTTTACAGGGTTTTTGAGCCATACACTAACTTGAATTAATTTAGGAGTGTGAATAATATTATGTCACTGCGCCTAATTTGTTATTTGTTATTTTACAGTGGACCAACTGTTTAATGATTATATTACAGATTTCGTTTCGTTTCACCAAAGGAAGAATTGAAAATACAATCTGTTATGTAAAAGCCCAGTGTGTTATTTTATTCGTCGCACCCTTTCTCATTCTTCGACTCACTGAACCCTTATATACATATCACCGTTATGGGAGGGCTTATTGGTTTGCTGATTCAAACTGTACTAGTGAGCTTTGAATATGTGAAACTACAGTCTACAAGAGGGTGTTGCAAATCAAATAACCCATTAGTCCTCTAGGTCACAGATTATAGTTTGAATTTTACCTTTTGTGAAAAGAAAATAAATCTATAAAATATAAATTGTGTTATTCGATACTTGCCAAGTAGCAACTTAGTTAGCAGCCTAGTTGTTTCAATTGTATGCACACCAATAAATGTGTTCAAATTAATTATGAAAACACGCCTTTCATGTTAATGTTCGTTCTTCTGTCAACATTTCATTGTATAACTAGGATAAAAGTCTTTAGAATACTTTATTTACCTGAGATTCCAAGGTTTTAAAAGGGATGATTTTGATATAGGAAAATATCTTAGGATACTTTTCACATATTGTATTTGAACTAAAATCTTTGGTTAATGTGGTTACTTCTTTGAGAGAAAAATACCCAACCTGAAAAGATTTAAGAAAATAAAAGCCAAACCTTTATCAAAAGGCGTAAAAAACGTGATTGAAACATTTATAATCGTTATATTTTAGGCTCAGCTTTGATGTTTAGCTTCAAACTTATAATTCGTAATCAGTGCCGTATTTCAGTGGATTATACCGAAACTTTCAGAATATTTTTATGATTTGTGTTTTCATTATGAGGGCAACTCCCGCAATTTCGACATATTCAGAAACGCATTGCAATATTTTATTTTCCTGAGAAATACTTTTAGGCCTGGCAAAGTAGATTCATTTATCTATAACTTTAACTGAAACCAGAGTAGATAGAATAACATTATTATGTTCAGAAACTGATTTATGCTGCGTAGTTTTGAAATATTATAAGTCTTGTTGCTTTCAAAGGTGTGATAAGCTACTTGGAATAATGAATTACAATTTTTGAATTCAAAAATACCAAACACAATACGTGACCAAGTAACGCACGATAATTAGATTTAAAAAGATTGTATATTCAAGAATCATTGGTTCGAGGTGGCTTCGTTGTTTCACCTTGATAACAGGTAAAAGTTTGGCGGTGATTTACGGCAAGTGGGAGTTATAACAGAGAGACTTTTAACTCAAGGTAGTTTAGTTTGATTTTTGTTTAAGTTTCATATATCTTTATGGTGTTATTAACTTTATTGTATCTAGTTGGTAAACAGGTTCTTCAATATTCAACCAAATCCACTTGTTCAAAAGGCTAACATGAATTTTCTAATTATTCTGGTAAAGGCCAAATAAAAGACATTGCCATTTTTGTCTTAGAAAACTGGACGAAAGCATCACAGATTTTGCCGACTTGACGTCACACATTAAAGTATAAAAGAGGTCCATTTTATGTCGATTGTATCACTTGTATAGAGGACACAACCATGAACACTTTGGTAAGTACACTTATAACAATATAAGCCTTTCGATATAAGAGAAAAATCCGTTGATGTAAAAATGTACTCAAATAATTTACCATTGAAACTAATTTCTTATTATTTCAAAAATTTTAACAAGATTTTCTAATAAATATGTTAAATCGCTATTTCCTGCAATAGATAAATAGCATTTTCAGAAGTAAACTAGATTGCGTATTGTAAAATATTAATCAGTTTTACAGTGATAGTATAACACTTATTCAATGGATGGTAGAAGAACTATATATTTTTATGCAATTATACAATATTTGTTGTCTTTTCTGTAGATCGCCATTATATTCTTCGGCTTGTTGGCCTACACCCAGGGAGGTTTTCTTAGTGCTCCCTTCGGATCAGCCGTCGCTCAACGCACCGTTACTCGCAGTTTCGTTGCCCCAGGAGCTGCCGCCACCCATGGTGCTTTTGCCCACGGTGGTGCATTCCCAGGAGTTGTCGCCCATGGAGCTATTGCCCACGGTGGTGCATTCCCAGGAGCTGTCGCCCATGGAGCTATTGCCCACGGTGGTGCATTCCCAGGAGCTGTCGCCCATGGAGCTATTGCCCACGGTGGTGCATTCCCAGGAGCTGTCGCCCATGGAGCTATTGCTCACGGTGTACATGGAGCAGTTTCGCATAGTGCTATTGGTTCTGCAACTGTTGCCGCTCATGGTGCAGTTGCTGGAGGTCCTGTTGGAGCCATCGGAGCCGCTCAAAGTGCTTTTGCTGCCGCCCAGGCAGCAGCTGCTGCTAAGGAAGGAGCACTTTTGCAGGGAGTCTATGCTGCTCGTGCCGCCCCATCTGTCTCCAGAACCAGCTTTGGACATGGTATTGGCCTGGCTCCTGCTGGTCTTGGATACGCTGCACACGGTTTCGCTGGAGCTTACGGACAGGGTCTTGTTGCTCCCTACGGTTATACAGGTGCTCTTGGTTTGGGCTACGGACATAATCTTGGTATTGCCAAATCTCTGGTCCACTAAGTACTCTGAAAATGAGTTAATTTATTGAATTGTGTAAAACAACGGTTCCCAAAAGATATAGAATGTGTTAAGTAAATAAATGAAATAGTAAAAAAAACTTGGTGCAAAATTGTTTTTGTAATTGGATCATCTTATGTATGTATTAATTTGCTAATTGTACATGTTGCAGCTTAATGCTGGTAATCACATAGTAAATGAACGTTTGGAATGGCATGTTTCTGTTTATGAAAAAAGCATAAGTGCCTTTTGTATTTAACATTTTATACACTGTAAACATTAACTATCTTAGAACAATGTAACATCATATCGAAGTCAACTTTACTGGATACTGAGAAAGCAGTGTACAAACCACAAAAGCTGTGACGACCTAAAACACTAACCTGAGAGTTTTAACGTGCATCAAAAATAGAAAGCATTTGATTTTTTATTGACCAAAAATAATTAACAGATAAAATATGTGTTCTTAATTTCAGATTATAGTATAACAAAAAAAAACAAATTATGTAATCCTCTGTTAATTAATGAGTAATATGTATATATATATAATGTTATGAGGGAGTACAAAATCCACCGATTTAATTGCAATATTTATACAGAATGGTATTTTTGGTATATTACATTATAACAAGATATTCCCTCAAAAATGATGTTAAATAATAATCAAGAGCTTATATTATCATTTAACAAGATCACGTTTATAATGCTGAAGCCATTCATATCCGGCTGAATCTTTAGTGTACTATACATATACTAGTTCATTCAACAAAGGAGAATACACATCAAGAAAAATACTAATTCATTATCCATCACTATAAGTACGTCCGATCTTCATAAATATTAAATTGTAAATGAACCGAATTAATTTCCTGACTAATTGTCAATTAAATATCATGTCATGAAGTATTAAACAACTGTTCTTTTATGCACAAAGGCTTCTTTGTTTCGTTTTGAATATAGTTAAAAGTCATTACAAGAAACTTACCAAGAGGCTAAGGTTTATTAATTGTCTACAATTACATTCAGTATTTTTGCTTCCCTTAATTTGAATATCTTAGATATTTTATAATATTCAAATTATTCAATTACTTCAAAGTCCCTTATATCTCCCACCCGTGTTCTAGTTAAAACAGCAGTTAAAAGAGACGAGGCCTTTCTTCTAACACCAGGGCTCATCAGGTCGGCTGGTATAAGACGGGGTCTACCACATGCAAGACAATATAAAACATGAATTAATAAATTTAATTTTTAAAGTTAATTATTCTAATTAACTGTTAATCAAAATGATTGAACTGAACCTTGAAAGTTTAAAAATGATCCAAGTGTTACAACCACCAAGTCTGAATGGTATTTAACCTTCCGAACCCGGTCGTTATTATTTTTTCCACTAAGTCATAAAAAAAACTACAAGTTGGACAAAACTACAATGTCTGAAAACGATTAGCCATGTTCTAAAACAGAAGATTTTGAAAAGGAATAAAAAATAAAAGAATAGAAGGTTGGAATGATAATAAAACAAACTTTTGTTCGGAGAATATTCTCTTATCTCCAGAACAAAATCAGATAATGATACGAATTCGAAAAGTAGCCAACTTCCGTTTGGGAAGGATATCTCATCAATCTTAAATAAATTGTTTTTTATTATCTTACGATAAACTTCTTGGTCTACATATACACTTCAAGACGTGTGGGAAAGTGTTGACAGAACAATCTGCTTTACTTAAAAACTAATTAACATTGTTTTGAGTTATTCCTTTATCTGTAGCGTAAAGAATATATTCTATTGTCTCTCGTTATCACAACGTTTATAGTAAAGGCTTAAGAAATACCGTTTCCGTACATGCTTTATTAGAACGTCTAAACTAGTTCACATAACTTTCCGCTTCTAAATCTGTGATAAAATCAACACTGGTGGCCTCCCTAGCTATTCTAGAGAGACTATAGCCTTTTTATCATAGTGCGTGACTGCTGGTTCGTGAAAGCTATAGCTTTCAAGGTTTTTCAGATTTTTGTTCTTGTTTAAAACTATTTATTTATATATTCTTGTTAACTTACGACCCATGCTAGTGTCTTAATCTCTGTAAAAAACAAAAGTGGTCAGATTAAAGGTAATATTGTTGCTTTAAGATTAAGCGAAGGTGGAGATTTACGGCTTTAAAACGGCCTTGGGTGTGGTAAAGTGACGTCAAAAAATGGAAGTATAAAAGTGGTCTATAACAGTTACTGACATTGAGTACAGATTTGTTTGGCGTTATCGACTTGTAGATATGAACACTGTGGTAAGCATAGTAATCCTATCATATGCTCAATAAACCGACTCTTTGTAGTTAGTCTCATGATAGAAGAGAATGGGTCAATTCAGTTAAATTAGACTTTTGTTTGTTTGAAGATTACGTATAAAGTTTTGCATATTTTTATCTATTTAATGAAATTTCACGCCTGTCTAATAAAAAACTAAGGACGAATCTTCTCAATAATAATTATTCTCTTGACTATCTTTTTTTTATCACTACCTCATGATTTTTGTGTGGTTAACATAACACTTTATTAATTATATATATATAAAAGAAAGCTTCATAAATAAATATAAAACTTTGTAACTATTACTGCAGTAACATACTTCTCTTCCTAACAGTTTGCCATCGTCTTCTTTGGCCTGTTGGCCTACACTCAAGCTGGTTTTCTGGCTGCTCCTTATGGTGCTGCCATTGCTCCTTACCACCTGGCTGGTGCCCCGGAAATCACTGGTGCTATTGGCGCTGCTCAGGGAAGGTACGCTGCTGTTCAAGGTGCCTACGCTGCCGCTCAAGGTAGATACGCTGCCGCTCAAGGTGCCGCTGCCGCTAAAGAAGGTCTTCTTCTCCGTGCTGGTGCCAACTACGGGTATGTCAACGCCCCTGGTCTGAGCTATGCTGGCCTGGGATATGGTCCTTACAACTACGGCTATGCTGGTGCCTATGGTTTGGGTCTGCCTAGTTACCGTATTGGTGGTGCTTATGGTCTTGGTGCTGCTAAAACCTTTATCCACTGATATGTGTATACTAACAGGTTTTCAAGTAAAGGGTGGAAAATCAAAGTGATTTGTTTCTCAGTGTTTATGCTACCTTTATTTAAAAATCATGGGCCACAGACAGAGAAACTGTTGTTCCTTTGTTGTTTAATGTGTATGATATTTGTTCTTGTAACTACAAAATTTCGCAACTCAACAAATAAAGTTTTACTCACAAAAATACTGAAAACAAATTTTTGTTCGTTTGTTTGTATAACGAAGTGTTTCTGTTTAATATATAAAATATAAGAAACAGATGCTTCTTATATATCACGACGTTTCAAGTATTAGAAATAGCATTATTATACTGATTATAAAGTAGTTAAAGTTTAATCAAGACTGAAGAAAGAACTTTATTTGTTAACTAGCTGGAGTACCCGGCCACTGGACGGAAGTTATGTAAATTTATGATTAATGAAAGGTTATCTTAG